AATCAGTTCGACAATGTAAGGAACAGTTTGATCTGCTAGGTAAAATTGCTTTATTTGAGAAAGATAGAAGAGTTCAGAATTTATATTGGTAACAAACCGGCTGCTTACGGATAGAATTAGAATGCACAAAAGCAGAAAGTGGCATAAAAGATAAGTTTTTCAAACCTTTTAACCTTTTTATGTGAGACAATCCTAAGAGAATCAGAAGTCCTACCAGAATTCTTTAATTTCGTTCACAATATTAACAGCATAATGATGTGATGATCGTAGGTATAGAAATGAAACTACAGGAAATTATAGAGAAAGTAACAAAAGAAAGTGAGGAGAAAGGACAAAACATCATTTATAAAAACGAGAAATTATGTTTGTCAGCCATATGAACAGCTCAAATTGATATCTACTAATTGGAGACATCCTAATTAAGCATGTACAAAAGTTTATATATTTAATATATTTAGCAGAGCAATGTGGGTCCGAAAGGTGTTTTAGAATAACGAAAGATGACATTCAGAGGTTAAGCAATGTATTAATGTCAGTTACCAGTTATCTCCCGTTAATTTCCCTCTGAAAGTTTTCCACATCCTTAGCCGGGTATTTGGGTTTTATCAAATTTTGTTGTTATTATTGCTTTTCTCTGGCACTTCTTGCTGAAGACATTAGGTTTATAAAACCCAGAAATTCATACACAGATGTCCTCAAGGACACATGGCACAGTAGATAAAGGCGTTGGTTAGATCCAGTGACATAGCCTAAAGGGCGTGAGTTTAATACCTGGAGAAGGGAATTAACAGTAGATAACTGATAACTCACGTCTATTAAACATGGCACGTGGTACTAGAACAGTCTACCCCAGTGAGCAAAATAAAGGGTTAAGTTCGACAGCAATTGTTTGATTGTGGTGTCTCTGATTTGTAATTCGAACTTTGGGTTCATCCTTTTCCTAAAAAAAAAAGTGGATTCTGTCTTCTTGCAGTTGATGTTTAATCCTTTCTTCTCGATTTATGAATGAAACAGCATGTTTAATCCTTTCTTCTGGCTTTACTAATGGAAAACCATGTTCCATCGTTTCTTCTCGCTTTACGAATGGAAAACCATGTTTAATCCATTCTTCTCGCTTTACGAATGGAAAATAATGTTTAATCCTATCTACTCATTTTACGAATGGAAAAACATGTTTCATCGTTTCTTCTCGCTTTACGAATGGAAAACCATGTGTAATCTTTTCTTCTCGCTTTACGAATGGAAAGCCATGTTTAATCCATTCTTCTTGCTTTATGAATGGAAAACAATGTTTAATCCTTTCTTTTGGCTTTACGAATGGAAAACTATGTGCAATCTTTTCTTCTCGCTTTACGAATATAAAACGATGTATGAGGTGGGTTCTCCTCCTTGTGTGGTATGGCGCAGAGTCATGTTGCCAGACATAGATTCTTTCATCATCCACGCTCTTGACCCAGGACAGCACTACTTGAGGCCCCATGGGATGATGAATGGAGGCATAACTCCAAACATCATTGCGTAGACAGGATTTATTTTACATCACTCTCGGTATATCTTTTGATAACACAGCAAGCCAACGGTTGTTCTTTGTGTTCACCATCTTATAATGGCAGAAATTATTTCCGCCTCAGAAAAAAAAACAAAGTATGTTCAGTTGGCGGGGGATGCTTGAGTTTGTTTAAAAGCTTCGTGGTTCGGTTTTTTTGCTTGTCCTTTACGGCTTGGGCTACAAATTGTCCCTTTCTCATCTTGTATGAGAAATACCGAATGCCTTCATGCAATCCTGATAAGAAACCCCTGTGTCCCTGGCAATAGACCTAAGTGACTTGGGGGGGGGGACGTTGTGAATTATGGCCTAGATATCACCAACAAATTCGGAAGTTATTTTTCTTATCCGAACGATTAGAGTGAGTCAGTTTTCCGAGCTGCTTACATTCGTAATCGTCATTAGACTCATCCAACTCTTTCCGAACCCTCTTCACTGTTCTCAAATTGACACCCAAACACTCTGGAATGTTTGTATTGGACCTTCTGGTGCGAATGCCAAGCATTACGGCAAGCCGTTTTCAAATATTGGGCAGAGTGAATTGCGGTATAGTGCTTTTTTTCTTCTCACAGACGGTGCCCAACTGACCCTACTATACTCTGTAGTCGATATATTAAAAACAAATAAAGTGCATGCGCGAATTAAAAAAATATAAAATGGCGCCAATTTATCTCACCCTTTGTGTGTGTATATACATATATACAATATTAGTGGTAATATATATGTTTAAGTAATTCATCGAGTCTGAAAGAAACCTCAACAGTATGCAGAAAGCTCTGGACAGCTGTTTCGTCCTATATTTTAGACTCATCAGCAGTGCTCATCCACTACCGAGAACTGAAACCCTGATAGGTCGTCAAGCAACTTGGTTGTAACTCTTGGTTTCACGCTTTCGTCATCTTCAGAAAAAATGGGTTATTTTTTCAAAAGTGAATCTATTTATGCATTATTTGTGTTGTTTATTTGTGTTTGGTGCAGGGGTATTTTCTTCTGTGTTTGTTTGGGATGACACATATACATAGACACACATACATACAAGCGTATGCATGTTATTTCGTAAATACACACACATATTCCTAATATTGTGTTAGGCGCAGTTACACATTCATACTTACGAGCACACATAGTTATGCAACTTATATTCTGTCTATTTCGGTGTATATATATATATATATATATATATATATATATATATATATATATATGGGAAAAATGTTATAGTTGTTCCAAGGAGAGAAAATGTATATTTTAAATAGAGAGAAACCACAAAGGTTTTTGCTTTAATTTTTTTGTTTTGGTGTATATATATTTTATTCGTCATATTTCTACTACACGTGTTTCTGCTCTCGTGACTTTCTTCAGGCAAATTAAAGGAATAAGTTTTCCTTATGTTCATTTAATGTCTCATTGTTCGTTATCTGTATTTGTTAGTGAGCCTTGAACTTTTTTCTGGACTGTTGGCAAAAGTGAATTTCCGCCTAAGTATATATAAAAAAAAAAAACATTAAATTAGGTATGAAAGCTGGCGCTGATAGATTTGTTGATGAGAGATGTCTTCCTATCCATGTTAGCCTGCATATGCAAATTTCCTCCCCGTATATACATACTGTCTTATAATAAAGAATCAGCATACACATATATGCATATCTATATACACATACTCATATATATAAACCCCACACACATACACATTCTTCTTGAGTTAGTGTATGTTCCCCTGAGTAGTCTATCTGTTGTTGCCAGTTTATGCATATATATATATATATATATATATATATATATATATATATATATATATATATATATATTATTCTCCAAGGAAGCCTGTTTGCGCGTGCGTAAGTGTATGTACATGTGCGGTCTCACCAGTCTATCTAGCCATCATGTGTGCATGCTGTGTTAAGAGGAGGATATGTTCAGTGCTGGTTTAAATTTGTCTATGAAGTTTTTTCTACTGAATTTGTAGTAAATAGTAGCTGCCTGTTTCGTATATTGGCACAATTTTAAATTTGCCTTGATTGCATTTGTAGATGTGTTGGAATACAAAGCGTTTTCTGTTGTCGGGCAATTTGATGTTGCTCTTGTGAAGATGATGCCTATGTATGATTTCTCGCATTTTATGGATTTGAGTTCATAGCTCACATGTTTGAAGTTGCAGTTTATATATATATATATATATATATATATATATATATATATATATATGAGAGCGTTGAATGAACTCTTTTCCAAACATGAATATCATGATATTTGTTCTTTTAAGTAGTGATTTTTTTGGGGGCTGAAAGCTTTTTAAAAGATAACCAAATAATAGAAAAATACTAGATGTGTGTGCGTGTGTTTGTGGAACGGTTTTGGTCAAGTAGTTCTGACCCGCTTTTCGAAAACACATACAGACACACGCACAACGACACGTAAAAACAGTAAAAATAACAGCAATTCTACTTTTCCAGATTTCATTCTCTCATGAAGATTTAATAAAAGTGAACCTTGTTAGATTGATAAATGTTTTTTTTAAACATTTCAACCCAAACAAGGCGGAAATTCCACTAGCATGCAAGGGGTTACAGAGAGTGAGAGCAAGGATAAAGAGGGGTGTTTGAGGTGAAGATAAAAAGAAAGACGGTGAACAAAATCAAGGCGAGATGAACAGTGGGGGCACCAGACCATATATGGCAGCGATATTCCATGCAAGGACGATGATAGATTTGAAGGGCTCAGGCCAGAAAACTTTCTGTGATTATGCTATTCAGTAACCTTCCATAGGTTACGATTTTATATATATATATATATATATATATATATATATATATATATATATATATATATATATATGTTATGGGGTCTTACCCATAATCATAATATTGTACTATTCCATACTCAATAAATACTGCGCCTCAGGAGTGGGCAAGGAGTCAGTAGTCAGTCAGTAGTTCAAGCGCAGTCAGTAGTTCAAGTGAGTCAGTAGTTCAAGTCGGGTCAAGAGTCGAATCAGAGGTAGTCCGAAACAGAGTCGCGTTCAGTCAATTACTGCAAGACATTGGAATAGTGATACTGGTCAAGATTACATTGTTCTCTCTACTAAACCTGATTGTTCCTACTAACACTTCTACTTCTCTGTATATATTCCTGTTTGTAATATATCTGTGTTATTCCATACCTGTGTTCGAGTTCTTCTTTATTGCTTCTACCTTGGACTATCACCGTGGTACAAGGAACCGGACCATAACAATATATATATATATATATATATATATATATATATATATATATATTATATATCGTCTAGCCACGCTGATGAGCTGTGATACAGTCTGTCTCTGGATGACAATATATATATATATATATATATATATATATATATATATATATATATAGCTGAAAGCAGGAAATATATTTTGAATTTAAGCTACATAGCGATGTTGACAGCAATACTGTGAATGGCTTGTATGACAAGTTTAATGAATATAATCAGAGATAGATAGATAGATAGATAGATAGATAGATAGATAGATAGATAGATCGTTCTTTCTTTATCTAACTCATCAATATTATTACCTTCATAGAATTTATTTATAGCTGGTGTCGGAGCAGCACACAGTTATATTGGAGTGACGGCCTCTACAACCCGACGACCCTCGTTCAATCAATTCACGATCACCTAATTCGATTTTAACCCTAATTTGTATTTGTGGTTTACGTTTTTATCGACGTAGTTTTTTCCCCCGCATTTCTCAGCCAGTGCAGGTAATGGGTGACGGGACGCGTTACCAGGTGAGACTTGCACGGTGACAAATTGACATTCACAGATTATTAATAAGGGACAAGTAGAAATATTATTGCACCTTGGCCAATGTTGAGAAAGAAAATGGCGATTGCAATTTAATCTATCTTTGGAGTAAGAAATTGTCTTGATTGTTAGCCTACGGGGTCGTGGATTTGATATAAACCTTCAAGTACATAGACACACACGCACATACACACAGACACACGCACAAATCTCTTTCTCTTTCTCTTTCTCTCTCTCTCTCTCTATATATATATATATATATATAACGTATATTAATATAGTTATTGCGATTGCAATTTAATCTATCTTTAGAGTAAGAAATTGTCTTGATTGTTAGCCTACGGCTTCGTTGATTTGATATAAACATTCAAGCACATACACAGAGAGACATATATATATATATATATATATATATATATATATATATATATATATATATATGTCTCTGAGTGTGTGTGTGTGTGTGTATATATATATATATATATATATATATATATATATATATTAATAAATACATATAGATGTGGGTTTTTGTATATATATATATATATATATATATATTATTTTTAATTTTATTTCTTTGAAAGTCATTTCTGATGGATACTCAAATTCAAGTAGAAGCTCTACTTTTTAATTAAACTATATATGCGGGCCTGAAAATTCGCGAAATCTTGTCAGAAAAATATCCGTCCTCCGGCTGGTTTCGAACCAGCATCTCCTATGCCGAACCAGTATTGGATCTGATGTGAAAGACCGTTCAGCCACGTAGCACCACCGGCCAAACAAAGCTCGAATAGTCGCATTTAATTCATTTCCTAAAAGTAAATTTTCTTTGTTTACGTTAGGATACGATACATGGATGTTTCTAGTATCGGCAGAGAGTATGTGTTTATAAGACACTATTCGGGCTTTGTATGACAGGAAGTCCTACGTGGCTGAGCGGTTAAGCATGTCAGAACCATTGACGGAGGACACATATTTTTCTGATAAGAGTTCTTGTATATTTAGGCCGGTAGATATATTTAAAAAAATACTGTTTAATTAAACAATACTGTTTAATTAAATACTACTCTTTAATTAAAAACAAATAACAGAGCTTCTACTCAAATAGGATTATCCGTAAAAAATAACGTTTAAACAAAATAAATAAAAAAATAACAATATGTCGGATTTAATGAAAGTAGCGCTTTCCATCTCATCCTGGTAAGGAATTGCTCAAATGTTAAAATAAATTTAACTTGCATTGATCCTTGTTTGGAATATGAATGTTTTTGTTTTTTTAGTAAGTACGGTATTTTGAATTCTTGCGTTGCAGTTTCCTCCGTAAATTTTGTAAACAAACGTCGTGTGTTCAGAAAAACAATCGTCGTTTTTTCAGAAAAAAACGTCTAATAGTGAATTAATACAAACATAATATCTCTATCTATAAAATGCAGGATGTGTGTGTGTGTAACGAATGCACGGCCGCAATTTTCGACGGATTTGCATCAAAATTTACATGCACATGCTCCAAGTTAGTGGCAAGGCCAAGACCGACTTTGCATTTTCCAACTCACATCGATAGTGGACATAATCGATTTTTCATGCTTCTACGGCAGTTTTCATGTAGTTTGAAGCCATTTTGTACTAGCCAGAGTGAAATCCAATAGTTGGCTGCCACGAATAGGCAGGAATATCCTATTGGCCAGCGTGAAAGCCAACAGCTGACTGACACGAATGTTAACTAGCATGCTAGCATGCAAAAAAAAAAATCGATAGCTGCATTCGTCACAAGTGGGAAAAATTTAAATCTGCATGGCACTTTACTCCAATTGGCTCATTCGCTTGCTTATACTCAAGTATTTGTTGTTAACATTCTTTTTTCATTCGGTTTTTCCAGTTACGAGTCCTTTTTCAAAGCTGATCGTTTTGTGTTCATTTTGTTTAGTTCTTGTCACCTTGGAAGTCACCTATGATAAAAAAAGAATGTAAAAGGGCTTTAAAAGAAAAGGGGCATAAAACCAAAATGGAATTTAAATCTCAGATAAAACAACAAATGAAGAAAAATTCGTGGAAAAATATTATTTGGTTTAACTCCCAATCCCCTTTTAACTTAGAATTCAAGCATAAAAGGAAAAATATTTTGCAAATTACTTAATAAATACTTCCCCCAAAATTCCGAATTACATTAAGTACTAGCAATAGAGTCCAGCGTTGCCCGGGGATGTAACAGTAAGACATAGATCAAGTATCGACCATCATAAAGACTGAAAAATAAAATTGACAAAAATTATTGTTTAAGGTTGACGGACACGCATGTCTTAATTAGGTTTTTTGTTTTTTTTTACGAATTGGACAAACCCAAACTCAAACAAAAACATTGTCTACCGATTGAATAGAATTTTATTATAAACAATTGTCTTGTAAACGGAATTTTTAAAGCATTCTGAATATAAAAATAAAGAAAAAAGTGTGCATGACAATAAGAAACACTACCTGTCAAAAAAAAAGTGAAGTTTTGTTGAAATCGGTTGAAAAATGTAGGAAATCCGATCCCATATATAAACGAACACACACACACACACAAACAATCTGGCTTTTATATTAAGTATAACTCAATATGAGTTGTCCCCCTTTCATTCTCGCGCAGCGGTGTCTCTTAATCGTGTTTTCAAATTGATTTTGTGCAAAAACAATTGTGTTTTTTCAATTGTTGGCGCTGTCAGAACCACCGCAAGGTAATTTTACGTAGTCCTGTGAAGTTTTGTTGAAATCGGTTGAAAAATGTAGGAGATCCGATCCAATATATAAACGTACAGACACACACACACACACACACACACACACACACACAACCTGGGTTTTATAATAAGTATGATTTAATAAAAACAGTTATATTAAGATACATATGGATTAGTTAGAAACCACAATAAAGAAACAAAACGCCAGAAATTTGAAAACTAACGTACAGCAAAGCATTGTTAACAGTAATATATGCAATTGTAGAAATAAAAGTAGGTATCCCTTAGATGGAGTTTGCAAAACTGAAGCAGTAATTTACAAAGCAAATGTAATAGATACAAATAATCAGAAAAATATATTCATAGGTTGTACTGAGAGTAACTTTTAAAAGAGGCTGTACAATCATAAGTCATCTTTTAAGCTAGAAAGCCTTAGAAATTCTACTAAACTAGCAAACCATGTGTAGAAATAAAAGGAGAAATATAAAATGATCCGATTGTAAATTGAAAAATTAAAAAAAAAACAAACCTTACAACAATCATAGCAACATCTGCAACCTTTGTGAACAAGAGAAATTAGCTATAATAACATTTCCAGAGCAACAACTTTAATACCAAAGATCGGAAATTATGTCCCTGAAACGTTCCTTTTGAGTTCATTTGAAGTGAGGAAAAAAGAACACACCCACACACACACACACACACACACACACACACACACACACACACACACACATATATATATATATATATATATTTCATTTCATCCCACACCGATACATTTCCAATACACTTGATTTTGCATTCCTTATCCTCCTCACCTTCTACCACTCCCCACGTCATGCGATTATTCATTTATTTATTTATTTTTTTATTTAAATATAGCGTTCATAATTTTTTTATTTTTTAAAGAATATAGCGTTACGAATCAATTGACCGAAATCGCCTGAAGATGACGAAAGTGTGAAACCAAAGTAGCGGAATTGACTGTTATCCTCATTTGGTATATACTTAAAAGGTCTATACGTGTTTTGAGCACTTTTTTAATACTACTGTTTCTTGGTCTAATTCAACTCTGGCCAAAGTGTCTGTCTCAGAGCATTGTTTTGAATTTATTTTCAATGTCAGTCCTCCTCTGGTAGACGCCTTGTTAATGAGAATGCGTTTGTGTTAGCGATTGGTGGGGCGTAAGGTATCTTATCACGGGGGCAGCGGTTTGGGGTTGGAGTTTATTCATGGTCTGGATCTTTTGTTGCTTGTAGTTTTATATAATATGTGGCGTTTCTTATACAAGTCCCATTAATAAACTCCAAGAAGAAATATAGTTTTAAGGTGTGCTATAGTTATGGAAAAAAAGTGCTCGGTATCAGAGATAGAGAGTATGTAAATATAAAAATGAACATTGAAGTCAACACGCAATTGCGTCTAGCATGAAACAGACTGTCACCTCTAAGTGTTGACTTCAATGTGTGTGTGTGTGTGTGTGTGTGTGTATGTGATTAAATAAAGATTTAAATAAAATACACATATTTATAGTGTAAAAATGCTCACATCCGAATTAGAGCGCATGTAATTTTAATCAGTTTGACCACAGAGTTCAAGAACCAATAACAACAGTCTGTTTCATGCTTAAACGCAATCTTCACGCCAGTCATACCCTGAAAATGGTGGTCGCCATACGGTGTTGAACCCTTTGTCCCCACTGAATTTATTTATATTTATATCACACACTCTCTCTCTCTGTATATATATATATATATATATATATATATATATATATATATATATATATATATATATATGAGTGTGGGGGCGTGCTAATAGCGCTAACCTTTTCCTAGCTCGTTTTGATTCAAAATACTTTTCCGGTAAATGATGGCAAACATCAAGTTAGCTCAGCAAATGAAAAAGCCAGCTGCAATCGTTGCCTTAATGGTGGTGCATAGTGATTGAGAGATTGCTCGCTTCCTGAAATTTACACAGTCGTTTGCTGTCAAAGTTCGCAAAGAGCTGGGAGCCACCGCCAGGGATTCTACAATTGTCGCCAA